AGCTCTATGAGAAGAAAACAAACAATTTTTGCTGTTTTTCTGTAAAATTGATAGTGTGATCAATAGATCATCGCAATAGTAACAAGATATTATAATAATTATTAAATAGTGCCGAAATTGAAGATCTATATTCGCCTATTTAATAATTAATATCTTGTGAGTAAAAATTTATTGAAAACCAATATTGAGCGATTATTAATATCTTGTTAATTATGTAAAAATATTGTAAAAATTGCAAAATGATACAAAACTTTTCGACTCAGTTTAATTTGCTGTACCTATGAGCGTTGTCAACAGAATTATCAAACACCTTGTCTATTACGTATCTTAATGGTCACTTGGAAGTAAAAACAAAAATTAATAAAGTATTCGTATTTTTTAAATAAATGAAATACATTAAATTAAAAAATATAAAGAATATATGTATATAAAAAGTAATTAGAGAATGAAATTGTTTTTTTGTCTAGATATTATAATATAGAACAGTGTTTGTTACAGTATAATAAATATAGTTTTATTATTCTTTCTATCTATCCTATTTTCAAATATTCATTCAGGATTAAATTTAAGTTGGTGCAGAAAAAAATAATATACATACACATATATAGTATGTATATAACATACTGTTTTCAAAGATATTCTTTGTATTGCTTCACACTAATTATTTGCATACTTGTTACTAATGAAATAACAGATATTTTAATGTAGCGCATTTGTCGTATAATTTATTAATCTCGCTTTTTTATAAAAAATATTTTATGATTATTAATTGTTACTATAATTTACCTAAATTGCACTAAATGCACCTACATTAGCCTAAATTTTTATAACTTATCCATATGTAGTAATTAGATTTTATACCAGTCAAAATAATAACATGATGTAAGATCTAATATAGGTTTATTGTGTCAAGAAATAAAAGAATTTTATCTTAAATTATTTTAAAAAATCGCGTTCGCGATTTTGCATCTTTTAAAATACTTAATTTTGAAATAATAAATTATACAGAAAATGATTGTAATAATTTAAAACATAAACGATTTACGATATTTATTAATGTAAGGAAAAATTATCTCCCTTTTGGATCTTACATCATTTATCTGAATTTCTTATCTCTCTGCATGTTTTGAGATGAGATTCAGCAACGAATCGTTCGAATCGTTAAGAATACGTACATGGGCCTTAAGTTTTAGGATGTTAATCGATTTAGTAATTTCCGGTTTATATTTAATTGGAAATTTTGTTTTTTATATTGTGTAAAATTTATATTAAGAAATTTGATCTAATTTCATAATATTTGAGATTTATAAAATCAAAATATTGAAAACATCCCTCATAGAGATTTTTTTAAATTTAGATTTATTTTTAGTCAAATACTTATATTTTTAGTTTCGAATAGACACGAATAAGGAATAAATTTATTCACACACATGTAATAATAAAATTATTATTATTGATAATTAATCAATTTGATTAATATGATGGCCCCTTCGCGACGCGTTCGTGTTTCGCGCATCATACAAAGGCGTAAAATTTTACGCTTTTAGTCGGCAGCAAAAAGGAATATTTCTCCTTGCTGTCGATCTCTGGCATATTAAACCAGAATATTGGCCAGAAAAAAGACGAAGATGTGAACGAAGTGGATTGGTGTGTAACACCAATCTAATTTTTGAAAGATATATATAAAGATAAATTTTGAATATTCGGGAGGGCAACTTTCTCGCAAATTGCGAGTTCTTATATTGTTGATTTAAAATACAATAACTAATAAATAACAGGGCTAATGAGAGCTAGTGCAGATAATGAAGCGCAAGTTTTGTAGGTTTTTT